AAAAAGGATTTAAAAAAAAAAAAAAAAACCAAAAAAACCCCCACCAAAATCCGTAAAAATAATCACGCGCGCATCGCGACCCACACCTCCCCGGCTGCGCGCCCGCGGTGCCTCCGCCGGGGCTTTGGGCAACAATTCTGCAGGGATGGATGCAGGCGTGGAAGTGATGCCGCGGGGCAGCGCGTTAAATGCCATCAAATACCGAGCCTTCAACAGCGGAGCGCTGCCCTCCCCGCCGCTCCCCGCAACCTTTTATTTCGCTTCTCCTCCTCGTTTCGTGTCGCCAAGAAACTTCCAGGGAGGGAGATGGGGAAAAGAGGGAAAGCAAAAAAATGCGGCGCGTCTCTCAGCCCGCCCGTTCCCTTCGCTTCGCCGGGCTCCGGAATTACCTGTTTATTCCCTGTTTATTCCCTCTTGCAGGAAATAAATAAAATATATCAAGAAAAGCCGGCGAAGGTAAAGGCAGGGTGTAAAATCAACTGGTGGCCACCCTCCGCCCTCCCGGCGCGCAGGGACACGCAGAACTTTCCCTCCTTTGCTCCTCAGTTTATTGGATAGGGTTTTTTTCTTTGGGGTTATTTGATGGTTTTTCCTTTCTCTGGCGAGTGCCGGGCATTCAGCGGAATCGCGCCGGTGTGCGCGGCTGTGCTGGTGCGGGGGTGTTTGCACGTACAGCCACACTGCGGGAATTTTCAGATTGCATAGATATTCCCTTCTCTCCTCTCGAGAAAATCAGCCCCGCTGCAGGGCTGGAAAATCACGGCAGACACCGCTGCCCATGCCCCCCGCCCGCTCCTGCTCTTGTGCGGGGTCAGAAAAGTCCCCTGGGCTGGGAGGGAGGGATGGGATAAAGCCTCACTCTGCAGCCGGGGTTTCTCGGGATGCTCCCACCGCAGATCCCACAGCTTCCCCTGGGCTGGGGGTGAATTTTGTAGGATTTTCTCCTCCCCCCCACCCTCGCAGCCCTGCTTAGGGACTGCGTAAAGCATCTTTGCTGGGGATTTTTGGAAGCCCAGCTCCCGTCTCCCTGCAGGCACGATTGGTAGGGTTGAGGATTCAAATGGATGCCTTTGGAGCATCCTCCGAGGGGGCGGCTGTGGAAGGGCACACGCATTCAACAGGTCTGGAGGAGAGCAGAGGGAAGGGACACCCCTTTTGAGGTTTTGAGGCAGCAACGAGGGCTTTGTCCTTTCCATAAATTTCTTTTAGAATTAACCTCGAATGCTGCTGTGTCCATCCCCACACCCGGGCTGCCAAATTTATGTCAGCCCTGTTGCTCAGCCACAAGTGCTGTCCTCACTTTCCTTTCTCTGGTCATTCCCAAGCCAAGGTTTGAAGTTTCCAGGTTGGTTTTGTGAGCGTTGCTTCTCGCAGGAGCAGCGAGGGTGATCTCACAGCTGGGGAAGTGCTGATTTCCCACAGGTGAGCCCAGCTCTTCTCTGCCCCATTACAATCACCAGCACCCTTTTCACTGGCTCTTGCTGGGGATTCATCACTGAACCTCCCAAATCCTTCTCTCTTCCACTCTCTCCAATCCCCTTCTCTTCCACCAGCCTCTCATGGATTTTGTGCAGGAAGACAAGTGGGGAGTGGAATAAAGATGAAGAAATATTTTGGTTCTGGAATACATTTTAGAGGATAGTAAAGACTGGAAAAAAAAGAGCAAATACTGCAGACGGTGTTTCTTTGCCACAATCCATGCTCTTCATTCACACTCTGAGAGGCCACGGGAACGGGCTCAGCCTCTCCTGTTCCAACAGATTTCCTGGAAAACATACAGATCAAGCAGTTCCTATTTTCAGGCTTTGGACTGCATGGGATTTCAAAACAGCAAGGGAACACCATCAGATCTTCAAAATAAGACCAAAAACCCAACTAGATGTCAGGGGAGCATTGAAGTCCTGTTTATCCAGATGATTGTGGAAGTGGGTGACATTTTCAGCATGGTGGCATTTCAAATTTTCAACATGCTTTTGAAAGGAAGATGCCCTGCAAATACCATATCTGTGTTCTCTCTTCTTTTAATCTGCTCTGACTTAGGTTACACTGAGATTCCTCTGGCTGCAGCCTCTCTTCATCTAAAGCTGGTGGCATCATCCAATTTAGGGACAGACACAACCACAGTGGCTCTCACAGCACTTCAGGTGTTTCTCCCTCTCTTTTCCTTTAACACCAGATGCCTTTGTGCTTTATTTCCATTCAGCTTAAGAGGTCTTCTCAGAAGTTTTGATTCCACTGTCTTCTCTAGAGCTTCTTCTTTCCTCTTCACATTGATTTTCTCTGTCCTGGCCTCTCTTAGTTCTATTTAGAGACTATTTCTGAAGCACTGATGAGGTTTAATTGGCCCTGTATGGAGAAATGTGGAAGAAAGCCTTCTAAGAGTTTGTGATCTAAATTAGGTCTGTAGATGATGTCCAAAGAGGTGGTTTGGAAAAAATAAAAAAATAAAAAAAAGCAATTAAAACTGAGGAACAAAATTCCTTTGGAACTTTTCTAAGTGGCTGCTACAACAAAGCTCTCAGATATGAATGAAAAAGTGTAGATTTATATCAGGTCTGAGCTGGAGATTACTCTAACAGCTCCTGTTGACAGCAAAGACTTTGCATCTTGCTCATTGCTGAGAATACGAATTGGTTTAGTGGACACGAACTGCAGTAATTGCTGAGAGATTTTAATATTACCTTTGAGAGCTTCACTGGGGGAAAAAAGAAAGTGATTTGAGAAATACTGAATTGTACCAGTGTAGTATCCCAAGATGTAGAATGAATTTAAGCCTTGGCAGAAACCCACACTGAGATCAGCTCCAGTTGCAGACTCAGTGACACTCAGGGATGTATCTTCCACTGATCTAAAGCAACTCCATTAATTTCACTGCTGTCCATCCTCCTTAGTGCTACACTTGGTGGCTACCATGGCACCTGATCTTGTAATTCAAGTTGGGAACAGAAGTTTCACATCTGAATTTTGTCATTGTTTTTAACTAAAGCACTTTTATGCAAGTAGCACTGATAAAAAAGGTTTACCTGAATACCAAGTACCCAAGTTGTAATGAACTTCCATCTGCTGTTGCCTCTGATGATCACTCCTAAAGGATATAACTGTTCACATTCCAAATTTTCCATAGCTGGACACAAGAAAACTGTCCAACCCAGTGAAATTCAGACAATCCCATTCATTTAGATCAGATGTTAGCAGTTCCTGACGTGCAGGATAAGATTTCTAAGATAAGATTTCTGTTGCCTTCAGCAAGTTCATGTTTTTGGAGGATAGATGGAAATGTAAAAAGATCCCCTACACAAAGAGACACAACACACACACCAACAGAGATGTTATGGCATTAACAGTCGTAATTTTTCTCTTCTCTCCTGGCTTGGGAAATAAATGCTTTGGGGCACCTTGTGGGATTTGTAGGTGGTTGTGTATTTGGTCATCCATTTCTGGCCCAAATTTAAGCAGGTGCCTGAAGGACTCAAAGCATCCCACAAGCTTAACATGGTGCTGAGATGACATTTGTGTTCATAAATGAGTAAATGGCATTAGCCTTGCAGACAGAGCAAAGGGGGGGACCTGAGCCAACTTTTCTAAAGTTAAAATGGCAACCAACACTCAGGCTCTGGAGCTTCATCTGTGGTAAACACTATGAGCCTGGGCAGAAGTTCCTTGATGGCAGCCAGCTTTCCTTTTAACCCTTAACATTTAAAGAATGTGATTATCACCAGTTTTTGAGGTATTTGCCTGCTTTTGGGATGCTAACACCAAGCTGCCCTGAGCTGGAAAAGGGGCAGGGCTGTGCAGCTGACACTGGGGAATTATCTGGGCTGGTTAACAGTGTCCAGCCTGAGTGAGCTAAAGGATGGAAGGTGTCTTAACAGGAGCTTGGTGTCATAGAGGAGGCACAGGACATCACCTGGGGCCAGCTCCTATTAGCTCCTCTGTCATACTCCTCTCCTGGGTTCACAGCAAAGCTTCTCTGCATTTTCCCTCTCCTCACAACAAACTGTGGCCTTCAGCTTCCAAATTTTATCACAATCTTTACAGGAGGTAAAGACACCATCAGGCCCTTATTTCATGACAGCCCCAGGGCTTTCACTTCTACCTTTGTCTTCTCTTTATCCGCCAGCCCTGACTCAGAGAGAAGTTGGTCCCTGGGAGGTGGCAGTAGGATGCTGAAAGAATTGTTTCACAGTGCCATCTCCTGGAGATCATATTTAGCCTGAATTTCTCTGATACCTTTTTTTTTCCCAACGTATCCGAGCTTTGAAGGCAGGTGTTTAAGGCATGATCTAAAGAAGAGATTAGCATAAGTGAAGTTAATCCAAAATTTAAACTCCCTCTTTATGCTTCACAGTAAAAGTCCTGCTTCTTGAATGCTGTGAACAGCAAAGAAATTGCTGGCTTGGGATTAATAAAATATTCATTGGGTTATGTCTCACAGGCTTTGCACCTCTTGGCAGTACCAGCCCTCTGTGCAGTGATTACAGAGGCAAAACACCCCCTGGAGAGGTATAAGGTCCCTTGGTGTAGCCCTTCTCCTGCAGGAATTCAAGGAACACCAGGAAAAAGGGGTTGCCACCTCTCAAATGGGAGGTCTCAGGGCCAGGCACCCCCACAGCCTCCTGCAGCTGCCCTGCACACCCTGCCCCAGACACAAACCCCATGTGGAGACCCACACACCAACTCTATAGCCCAAAGCACTTTATTTACCCAATTTTATTTATTTTTATTGCCTGTTGATTAGAAATCACTGCGTAGGGGTTGTAGCTATTCAGCAGAGGGGCAATAACTGGCTTTAATATTAACTGGAAAATCTGAGCCAGCACCTCATGCTTGCAGCTCAGGAATGCCAAGAAAGTGTAGTCTCTGTGCTAAACAATAGCTCTCCCACCTTAGCAGTAAATGAAAAGGAAGCACATGTTATACCCAATAAATCACAGTGCTGAGGTTCAATACTGAGGCTCACAGCTATGAGCCTTATTGATCGTGCCAGCACTACAGGAGAGATCCACTCTCACATCAAAAACTTGCTCATTTCTACCATTTACTAACAGCTTCTTTCTTTATTTCAAGTATTTACAGGCTTTGCCTTGGCAGGAAAAACTCCTCCCAGTTTTTAGCCTCTACAAGCCAGTGTTGGGAAGGGAGGCTGGGGAAACTGAGGCAGGAGGAGCTGAGCTCTCACACACAGATCTGCAGTCCCAGAGAAAGGCTGTGACAATGGAAATGGATTTAGACCTCAGATGCATCACTGTGGTTACAGCTTTCACTTAACAGGGATGTTTCTGCCAAGCTCTGTGGAGTCAAACAAGTAAATTCTCCATTTCCCTCCTGCTTCATACAGGAATATCCATAATGGCAAAACAAGACTGAAATCTCTGACTGACAAGGATGACCAGGAGCTCAAGTTTTATTAAAGTGTAAATTATGCATCACATCTGCATTTCTCGTCTTTGCTGCACATGGAGTGAATTCTATATCACAGACTGGAAAATACTGAATTGGTCTGGCTCTCTCAGTGCCCTGCTTGTGTGGTGGGCTCAAAACCCAGCTCGGGCATTTCCATGGTTTTGGTACCTAATAGGATTTAGGAGCTGGTTAGCTGTGGGCAGAAATGCCCTGGAACATTTCCACAACAGCCCAAAAGCCCCTCCACAACACAATTTGTGCCCAAAATTTCTCTGGCAAACATCTCGCCATGCAACAAAACCTAATCTTGCAATTTGCACTTGACCTTCTCCTCCCTCCTTCCAGCCCCCATTCAGCACCACCCCCAAATTCACAGCAAAGTATTAAAAGGTCATATCAGTACTTTGAGGGAATTATTTTTACAGTACTAAGATGAAAATGATGCTTTTAGGAGTGTCTCTCTGAAGCTGACTATGAAAAAGGCTTGTGGATGGCTTTTGCTCTTTTAATGGCTCCTTCTGTATTAAGGAGGAAGATTAAGAAGGAAATGCCACTAATTGCACATAAAGGCCCAGGCTTCCACAACAGAGTAACTGTACATTGTATTCAGCTTAATCTCCATCTGCCCCTAAGAGCATAATTGATTTTTTATTTTAATTTGAAGAGGCTGACACTTCTACTTCTTCATTGCCAGGTTGCTAAGCACATTTAATAAGGATGCATATGAGTGGAGGAGTCTACAATATGCCATTAAAGGTAATAGGTAACATATTTAAGGTCATAATGAGCTCAGGACTAAGTATCTCAGTGCAGGGATCAGGAGGGAAGGTGTATAAATACTTTTCTTACTGGAACTCTGCTGAGCAAGACATGGCTGTGGGCTTGTAAGTAAAGAAGGAAACAGAGGGTTCTTTTCATGAAGTGAATTTTCTGATCTCATTTCAGACCTTGCCCAGGGGGGTGGTTCATGTCCTGCCTGCAGGTGACCATGGTTTTACCCTAGACTGGCTGACTTCTGACATGTGGCAGTCTCTGTGCCTCAGTTTCTCCATCCTTAAAACAAAAAGAGGAATAATTCCCTGGTTTTATAAACTGCTTGGAGAAATCACTGCTGAAAAATGCCATATTCTGTACCTTATAAGTATCCTGTACTTTGTCTTTAGAAAGGAAGCACTGTACAGATGAGAGACTGAAATCTAGGCAAATTAAAAGCCAGGTCCATAAAAATATTTTAATTATTTAAATACCTCTTGGGCTTCCTATTGCAAATAATAGGTTTTAGGAATATAGGGACATTTTTCATAAACTAAAAAGGTTCAAAGAGCTTTTGATGTGACACCAGGATCAAGTCAGTTACTCAAAGTCCTTACTTTTATTATGACATTGACACCCTTTTCCCCACTTTTAGGCTTTCAATAAGCCTGCCCAGGACATGTCTGCTTACCTTCAGGCACCCCCAGGCTTGTAGGAGCCTCGGGAAGATTTGGTCCTAGAGCAGCATCTGCTCTGTTTGAAATTCACACCCTCTCTGAAATCCTGCAGAGAAACTCAGCTCCTACATCTGTCACAAACTTGCAGCCAAACCCCCCAAAAAATTCAAGCTTGGAAAAAATTGTAGCTGCTGCCACACATAGAGAGGCTGAAAATCTACAGCACCCATCCTGGCTGCCCAGAAATTCCTGTTGAGGGAATGAGATACAACTTCTGCTCCCAAACCCAGGACCCTTTCCTGAGTATCCCATCAGTTAGAAGTGGCTTGGGTTTTTCTGGATCCCAGGGGGCACAATAAAAGCTGTACTCTTTCATAATTCAATTACAGGAAGGATCCTGGGAAAAAAACCCTGGATTCTGGCTGTGTTCAGACACCCTCACACAGAGCCCACAGTGCCAGGAGAAGAACATGCCCTCAGGCACCAACTGTGTCATCTGAGTCAGCCACTCTGATTTGT